CTGCAGAAGGAAAAGTTCTTAGCTTGAGCCTGCAGGATGGGATCCAAGCAGAGGAGGACGCTACGCCTGGGTTTGTACGTGGTGGTCTCTGCGCCAAAGGATTAAGGAGCACTCATGTGGTTTGCTCTCAAGGGAGCTGTGAGGATGTTGTCCTACAGCTTGTGGTTGTGTGCAAGACCCTAAAAGGAATCCTTTGAGCGTCTTGAATTAGAGTAAATTGCTTGAAGCCCAGATGCATGTAGCATTGGGGTTGAATCATTCACATTTTGGTGTTGACGTCTTGAATTAGAGTAAATTGCTTGAAGCTCAGATGCATGTAGCATTAGGGTTGAATCATTCACATTTTGGTGTTGGACCAAGAGCATGAACTGGCACTAACGGGGAGCACCAGGATATGGGTGACTCCATCACCTCCCAAGCATGAGGTTGGGATTGGTCTTGTCCTGACAGCATCCCTTTCTGAGGCATTTGGTCTTCACTGCTGTGCTTGGATGATGCTGGAGAGCACAGATCCTAGCTGGTTGCCCCTACCCTTTGCTTTGTCCACGTTAGCATATTGTCCTCTTCGTGTGCAAAACCAGCAGAGATGCTTTTTCGCTGCCCCATGATGAGTCTCCATCCCTCTTGCAAACAGTATCTGAAATGTCAGCAAACTCTCCTGGGTGGATGCAATTGGAGTTGCAACCTTGAAACCTCCCAAGAGTGTCTGTGGTTGGTGTCCTGGTGTTGCTGGTGTTCCTGGTGCAAGCACCAGGTGTTTGCACGCAGCATCTTTTTTGGAAGATTATGACTGTCTGCTCTTGAATTTACCAACCTGGTTTCTGACAGTGGCTGGAGGATTGTGAATTTGAGAGCAGGCATATTCCCAGGGAACGAAAGTGTATATTGCCATAACCAACCTGTAATTAACTCAGGGTTTTTCCCCCTTTAATGAGTTAACCCAGCAGCTTCTCAGCAGCAGCTTTCAAGAAAAATCCCTGTGTGGTTTTGGCCTCCCTTGAAAGCCTTCAAAAGAGAAACTTGCAGAAGTCAGAATTTGTAACGAGATCCTCGATGCTTGGCAAGCATCAGGTGAAGCTGTGATGGGTTTCAGGGTGCTGTGTGATTAGACGTGACCTTGCATGGCTAGGAGCAGAAGAACCTGGCTTCAGCTTTGAGAACAAGCATGCGAACAATATGCTAGTATTTCTCGTGGCCACGATGGGTCAGCTCTCAGGGCTTGCTTTGAGTCCCCTCTGAGCTCATTTTCTTCTAGATCCTGTCCTCATTTTCCCTATACTTTACTCTTTCTCCTTGCCCTTCTCTTCCTTGCCCTCTGTTCACCCTTATTGTATTTCCCACCTTGTGGCTCTGCTTCCCACCTCTCTTTCCCCCCTGCCATCTGCCATTAAATGACAAGGGTCATTTAATCTTCTAAGGACCAAGCTGGTGTGGATGCCCATAAGCTGTCATTTGATGCATCTTTGTTTTGGAGCCCTATGTCCCTTCTGCTGTCCCGGACTGATGTTCCTGATAGCAGCAACACATCTAATGAACATGATGGTTGAGAAGGGGTGATAGTTTTCATATATTTGCTCTATAAAATACCTTCTCGATGTTGTTGGGAGTAAGACAGGAATTTTCTAACCCCATAAAACCTCAAAGCTCTCCTTGTGGTTGGAAGAGCTTGCAGTTTTGAGCTCCTGGTTTCCAGCCAAGTTGGCTGAGGAAGGGCAAAGTGATGCCAATGGGTCATGGGTACTGTAGCCTACCTGGCTGCCATCGCAGGGGCTGGCTGATTGCTTGGGGCTGATGCTGCTTTTGGGGTACCCATGCCAGCTAATATCTCTCAGATCAAGACTGTTAATATCTTCCAGGAGGAGACTGAATCAACCCTCTGCCAAGGGCCATCAGTGGGGCTGAAAGAATATTCAAGGTAAGTTGGACTACTTTCTGAATGCTTTTTGCCCAGAGAACTGGAAATTTTTCCTTTCTCTTCTCGCCATGGGGTTGCACAACTCTGGTTTTCCCTCCTGCATCACTGAAACCACCCTGCTGGTGATGCCTTCACTGGGCAGCTTGGCTGTGTCCTGGTGCCTTGCTTGCCAAAAACATCAGGAGTGGAAATTGAGGCCCCATCCTGGAATTTGAGGGTGGAGAGGGAGGCTCTTGGCCCCATCCAACCTCCACGAGGATGCTCGAGTCAGCAGGGCGCGATCGCTCAGATGCACATACCTACATAAATATGGAGGTAGGCGGTGGGGAAATGCTAGTGGGGACAACCGGCCTCACAAAGCCTGGGAAAAGGGTGTTTCTTTCCCTCATCCCATGCTAGATCTGGGCAGAGATAGGAAACTAAATTCATAAAGCTGGCCCTTAGCAGGCTAATCCTCTCTGTCTTAGAGGCAGGGGCTTTCATGTCCGGTGAGAGGCCTGTAATAAGACCTTCTGGGGAAGGAGCTGATCCCAAAAGGTGGCAGGACTTTGCCTTCTGAGTCATGAATCTGCTTGGCTGCTAATGAGATCGGAGGGGCTGAGCGTGTTTTGCCAGGCCATTTGCCCTAATGAGTTTAGTGGAGATTGTGCAATGTGTGCTCTGGCTGTGTGGAAAAAGCATCTGGCCCCTGGTTTTTTTGGGAACTTGCTGTCTCTGTCCCAAACAGACTCGAAGGCTTTCCCGAGCTTTGCGTTCCTCTGATGTCCCACAGCCTGGTAATTTTGTGTCAGCCTAAATGATCTTTTAGAAAACGGCCAAAAATCGCTCTGTTTCAGAAATGTTGTCTGTGGGATGTTTTGGCTAAAAGTAGAAGTTGTGGCACTGCTTTCTTTGTGCTCACCTGGATGTGCAGGACAGATGTCACCACGCTCCTTGGATGGAGAAACCTGGCTTCCCAACTCCCTTCTGGGGGACACTGGGGCAGCTGGCCGTGCTTCCAAACTGGTCCTGCTGAGGCATGCCAGGAGGGGGGAAGAGGCAGGCAATGGGTCTGACCCATGGGCTGCTGAAAGGGCCTGAGATTGGCTCTGAGTTTGCCTGGCATGTGCTGGAGGAATGTGGCTATGTTTGCTTTTCACCTGCTGGCCTGGATAAGTTTGTGTTTTTTTTGTGGTGGTGCTGATCACAAGCTGGGGATGTGATGTTCTGCAGCCTGGCAGGCATTTCACTCAGTTGGGAGGTGGCAATGACCAATCAGGGACAGCCCAAATTTCTCTATGGGCAAGGGGACACCATCACCTCAGCCCTGTGGAGAGGCAGGCTCAACCCACAAGATGTAGGCTTGGTTTGGGCTGTGCTTGCTACTCCCTCATTCATCTCTTGCTCTGCTTTTTTGGAACGTGGGCATCTCAAAGATGAGGTTTCCAATTCCCTGCCTGGCTTGGAGAAGCCTTGGGAGAAAGTAATTTATAGGAGCAGGTTGGTGCTTTATAATCTTTGTGTGTCCCACAGTTTCCTGACCTGTTTGCTGAGCAAGGAAACATTCCTGTGTTCCCCACCCATATTTCTGATGGTGAAGGTCATGGAATTGGGTGTTCCCGGTCCTGCAGCTTGTTGTGATGATAATGAGACTGTGTCCTTCTCCATCATGTGAATGCTCAGGCTGCCTCCTCGGTAGAGGACAGTCGGGGAGCTTGTCCATGCAGTCCCAAGTGATGTGTCCGATCACAAGGTCTCCTCCACCAGCGTGTCTACAATGCTCAGCCTGATGCCATCTCTGTCCTGCTTTCTGCTGGTGCTGCCAAACCTTGGAAACCTGTCCCCTTCTTGGGACAGACGTGTCTCTGGAGATGTTTCCTTGGGGCCTCCTCCACTTGATCTGGTGACCTTGTCCTGCTCATTTAAGCTTCCTCATTCCATAAGTTGCAACCTGGGGCTGGTTCCTATGGGGGACAGTCACTGCTGCTTTGGGATGCCTCCATCTGCCACAGCACCCATGGGGCTGCCATGCTTGAAGGGAAACAAGGGCTTGTTTGGGGAGCAATCCCTTAATTTTGCATGTAAGAGGTGGAGGCTGCTGCTCCCCAATGTGGTGAGAAGTGGCTTTGCTTTTGCTGTAGGTCACAGCGCAAACCTCGGGGAGCAGGACCCGCAGCAGGACGGCGTCTCTCGGCAACCAGGGCTGGAGTTGGGGTAGGAAACCCAGGGAGAACTGTCATTCCCCAGAGCCAGTCCTGCATGGGGCGCATCCCTCAGCACCTCCTGTATGCAGCTGGGCTTTGGGATAATTGTCCTCCATTCCCAGCTTCAACACTTCTTGCCTTCTGACTTCTTCCCACAGGTCCCAAAGCCAAGCGATGGTGGGGCTGCATCCCTTTCTGGAGAGCCTGGGGCTTTGGAGGTGGATGTGGGGGTCACTGATATGAGGGGGGGTGAGGAGGAGGACCTGGATCCCCCTGTCCCACAGCAGCAAGGGGATGCCCGAGACTCTAAAAGGAAAAAGGAAAGAGAGAAGAAACAAGAGCAAAGGAAGCAGCAGGAGAAGGGATTGCTGAGAAAAGCAGGGAGAAAGATGGATGAATTTGAGGAAAGTCCCAGGGATGTGATGGAGGTCATCAAGGATGAGAGTGCTGATGGGGACAGGAATTTGGCAGTGGGACAGGGCAGAGCCAAGCGAGGGAGCAGAAGCACCCGGGAAGAGGGTGATGGGAGGCAAAAGCAGAAGAAAGTGAAAGCAGAGAAGTGCAAGAAGGTGAAAACAGAGGAGGTGGAGAAGGTGAGGAAGAAGAAAATAAAGAAGGAAAAAATGTTTGAAGATGAGCAAATGCTGGAGAAGACAGATAAGGAAGGAGAAAAAGGAGTGGGAGAGGGACAGGAGGAGAGACATGGGGTGAGAAAGGAAAGTGAAGATGGAAAAGTAGTAAAGGAGGAGGAAGAGGAGGTGGAAGAGAAAGGGGATGAGGGATGGGGAGAGACCCAGAGTGCAGAGGTTGGGCAGGAGGTGGAGGAGGATGAGACAGGGAAGGGAGTTGTGCCAGGGACAGAGAAAAAGCGGAGAAAGAAGGAAAAAAAGCCAAAGGAGGAAATAAAAGAGAAAGGGGAGAAGAGCAAAGAGATGAGTGAAGAAGAGGAGACCCCGAGGAAAACCCGGAAAAGGAAATCTAAGGAAGAAGGAGAACAAAAGCACAACAAAAAGGCTAAAAAGGAGAAAGAGGAAGAAAAGAAAGAAGAGGCAGGAAACAAGTGGAAATGGTAAGTGTCCTGTGTGCCTTTGGCCTGTGGGCAGGTCTAACGCTCATTTGAGGTTTTAGTTTTATTTCTTAGGGTCAATCTGTGAAAATTCTTTGTTTATTACTATTTTTAACTGCGTTGCTGTATGTTATTAGGCCCTGAGCTCAGCACTCTTGGCAAGGAGGAGGGGTTGAGAGATGATGAGTGGTCCTGAATACAAAGTACTATTTGTACAATATTTTTTTTTATTCCTACACGGTATATAAAATATATATTCCTCCTGAAATAGCTTTGCTGCTGCCCAGCCTGGAAAGGGAGATGCTCATGGCTGGTGGAAGATGATGATCAGCACAACCTCCTGTGATAGCTTCCAAGCCATATCGGGGAGTTGTAAAGGATAAAAGGAGTTGCAATTTCTTCCCCTGCCCTTTGCAGCAGTTTTTGAATGATCCAGGCAGGCTTTTTGGTAGGAGAACGTGGGGAAAGGGTATACGAGCGAGGCGGATGGATGCTTTATTTTTGAGGTGGTGGGGAGCGGTGGCTTTAGCCACTTGATGTCACTCTCTCCCAGAGCACCCCAATATCTGGGGTAGAGAAGGAGCATTTAGGGGGCTGGATGGTTGTTGCAGTCCTGGGCTGTAGGGAGCTGCTAGGATGTTTCCCCAGACACGGATGCCCACAGGTGTCTGGACCTTTGGGACAGCTCTTGTGGGGCTCAGGATGGCATGAGGAGTGGAACTATGCAGCTTTTTTTCCCCCCAAAGTGATGCCTTGTTTGAGGGGCTGAAGCCTGGCATGGAGGCGAGAGGCTGGTACGTAGCATCAGCTCGATTTACAGCAGTTTTGCCCCAAAACACGTGCAGGACTACATTTCCCATAAGGCTGCACTGCCCTGGCACGTGATGAGTGCCACAACCCGGACTGCTTGGACACGGTGGTGGCTTTTCATGGCGATGCCTTGGGCACCACCATCAACATGCCCCAGTGGGTAGCGGGGCGCTGGGGCAAGATGCTTGGGGTGACCTGGGCTGCCCCCAGCCTTGCCGTCTCTCTGGGTGGTCTGCAGCATGTACCGGCATCTCACCTCCTCACTGCTTGGCCACAGGGTCTGTCACCCTTGGCTCACCCCCATTTGCCTCCGTCCAGGCTTGGGGAGCTGCAGCAGGTTAGTGTGGGCGATGCGTTGCTGGGATGGGCGAGCGCGTGGCTTTGGGAGGAGAGACGGAGCCCTCGCAGCGTCCCGCAAATCACCCTGGCCGCTGCCTGTCTCCGAGACGCTTTCAGCCAAGCTTTCTGTTGCTCGGTGATTTTTTTTCTTTCATGTATTTTTTTCTATATTTTCCCGGCACAATGCATCTTTTGCTGCAGCTGATTTATTCCACCCCACTTCCCGTGGGGTGAAGAAATGTCAGAAATACTTCCGGCGCGCCACCGAGCAAGAAACACAGTGGGATTTTTTTTTTTCTTCTCCGGGTTGAAATCTTGCTCTGACTTCCCAGCAATCCTTGTTTTTCCTGGAGATGCTGGGGTTAAGGGGCCGCTGCCAGCCTGGCTTTCGCTGAGCTGCAGGGCGCAGATCCCCTGCGCTGCTGCCAGCGATGCTCTTCCAGAGGACTTCTGCTTCTGCACCTGACCTGCTCTGTCTCTTTTTAATGCTGTTCTCTTGATCTTCAGGGTGGGTGTTTTGGCTACTTTTTTAATATTTGCTTAAAATTGTTTTTAAAAACCTTCATTTTCACAGCTAAGACTTGCAGTGACTTTAAAATCCCGTTTGCTCTGGAGGAGGAAGAGGTGCATTAAGATCTTATTTGCATTAAAATCATAGATATCAATATTGCATGTTGCATCTCTCCAGCATATGCACCCGTACCTCTGAACCTCTGGGGTTTTTTTTAGGTGCTCTTAAAAAAAAAAAAAGAGACAGTGAGGGCTGGGGAGGGAAGGGAGGGTACATTTTAATGTCTGGAGCCCCTTCTGTGCAAACTGAGCAGACTTCGTGGCTCAGCAGTGGGGTCTCTCCGCGTGTGCCCGTGAGTTTAGCTGACTGATGCATCCCTTCACTCTCCCCTTGCATCCCTCCGTGTCGCTGCACCGAGCTTGTCCCCTTCCTCAAGACGCCTTTCCCATGTCAAGGAAGGTTGCACTGCAGCCTTCCTTGTTTGAAAGAATAGGGAAACTGAGGCAGTAGCAGAGACATGAAGATTCCACTCAGGTTTTGTGGGAACCCTCGCTGGTCACAGAGCATCTTCCTGGTGTGACATTGGGCGAAGGTCCCAGACCCCAGGGTGGGGTTTCTCTCATGAGTCCTTGTGCATCTGTCCCAGGTGGGAAGAGGAGAAGAAAGAAGATGGGGTAAAATGGACACAGCTGGAACACCGAGGACCCTACTTCGCCCCCCTCTATGAGCCTCTGCCTGATGATGTGCAGTTTTATTATGATGGTATGTCTGCCTTATGATGGGACCTGGGGCATCTGGAATTGTCCTCTGCCTGGCCGAAGAGCCAGTATCTTCTGTTGTATGGGGGGAAGTATTGCAGACCACAAATTGTTAAAGGGCCTAAATATCTCATTGGATAAACCCTGAACCATGGGTTAAAGCTGGAGAGTTTTGCATGTGGTAGAGGTTGTGGGGTTATTGGGGAGCTAATTGGGGAGCTTCCGTCTGAACATGAGGAAGAACTTCTTCCCTCTGAGGGTGACAGAGCACTGGAACAGGCTGCCAAGGGAGGTTGTGGAGTCTCCTTCTCTGGAGATATTCAAGACCCGCCTGGACAAGGTCCTGTGCAGCCTGCTGTAGGTGACCCTGCTTCGTCAGGAGGGTTGGACTGGATGACCCACAGAGGGCCCTTCCAACCCCGACCATTCTGTGATTCTGTGTGATTCTAATGAGCCCCTGGCAGTTGCAGAGTGCTTCATGCATCCCCTCCATGTAGAGCACCCTGGGACAGGGTGAGGGTTCCTGTGTGACAGCCTGCAGTTGGCTTGAGGGTGCTGTAATGTGTGGATCTGGGACTTGCACCTCTGCTCACAGTCTCTCCTGGCTGCAGGAGATGCAGTGGTGGGGCTGGGCCCTAAGTTTCTTGAGAGGAAGCAATGCATCTTGATGTTTGAATGCATCTTGAAGTCCTTGTGCACCTCTTGTGAAGATGGACTGGAGGAAAAAAGAACACTTTTTCTCTCATTAATATGCCTTTTGAGTTTGAGCTTTAAGTCAGATCATGAATGGTTTCCCTGCAAGCTCGGGAAAATGTGATTTTTTTTTTTGTTTGTTTGTTTTTGAGAGCTGTAGTTGGCCTGTCCCATGGCCACAGTGACTGACACATCGCTTGCCCTCCAAGACATTGCAGGGTCTGGCTGGGGTGCTTTGAGCTCTTGGTCATGGCTCCCAATAGTGTCCCCAGGGCCACTGCACATCACCTTACAGTAACTCAGTGCACCAGTGAAGGGGCTGAGAGATTGGCAGGACATGCTGTCCTGCTTGGTTTCCCACCATGCCTGCTGGGCTGTCTTCTGCTCCCTGCTCTTGGCTCCATCCCCTAACGGTTTTTTGACGGATCAAGGGAAGGGGAGGCAAGGACCTTGGGACTTCTCCAAGAGATGCTGGGAGGGGACTGCACTACCATGGGGTCTTGGTTCTTCTCAGCTCCCTCACTGAGGCTTCCTGTTCCTTGTGGGGTTTTTACAGGAGGAAAAAGTGGCCAATTTGGGGAAATGAGGTGTCTGGCAACGGTGTCACCAGAGGGCCCTGCTGGGACATAGATAGGGTGTTGGAGACTTGGGGTGTGTTTTTTTTTTTTTGGATCTGTGAGGAGGAGGAGGAGCCCTGGCAGCTGTATGTAGTCCTGTGTAGGATTTGGACCTTCTCTGTGGCCTCCGAGTTGTTAGAGACCCATCTGTGTTGCATGATTTGGGCTGATGGCTTTGGCCTGGCATCTTGGATGACATTGGCTCATTTGCTAAAAGGTGTCATTGTTCCTGCGTGAAAACAGATTTGTGCCCAGGCAACAGCCCTGAGTAGAGAAGGGACCATGGCTGAGCTGGCATATGTAGGTTGTCGTGGGGCTGCTATGAGGCTGCGACCCACCATGTCCTACAGTTCAGGTGGAGACCAGGAACTCCAAAAACCAGAGTGCCTGGTGCAAGTAAGATCGAATCATCCCCTGGAACTCTGCAGGGTTCTTTTCCTGCAGCTTGCCTAGAAAAGCTGTTTCAAAGTACTGGCTTCCTAGGAAGAGCCACGATGTTCCTGGCATTCACTAGACCTCATTGCTCTAACTAAAGAGCTCAGGAGAGGATGGTGGCTTTGCCATCTCCGAGAAATGATCCAGGATCCACTGGACAACCATGAGAGGCTCTTGCATCTGTATCTGTTGCACAAATCTCATCTCTGACCTTCCCACAATTGCTCTCTCCGTGTGGGAAAATACTTGAGATGAAACCTCTCCATGTGGGATCCTGGCTATTCAGCGTGGTCCTGCAAATGATCATGGTCAGAAAACAAACCTTTCTGTGTTGCCCTACGGAACCATTAATTTGGCGTGGTGGCCACTGAAAGCCCTGCGGCTCAGTGACCTTAACGTAAATCAGGATTTCCATTCTCCTGGAAAATAAGATGAAGTGTGGGAAGATGAGCTGCAGCAGCATCCTGCTGTGACAAGTGCCCTGGGTACTGATCTGCAGACAAGGCTGTACCTGGTGCAGGAGGTAGCTGAAGGCTTGCTGGTGTCTGTTCTCACCCCATGTCCCTGTTTTGGCACTGTGTTGAGCATGGGGATGTGTGAAACATCTGCCTGGGGCTGTGGGGGTGGGCTCTCCCCATAACTGATGCTGAAGGTCTTCTCCCTTTCCTAGGCAAACCCCTGAAGCTGAGCCTGGCCTCGGAGGAAATTGCCACGTTCTATGCCAAAATGCTTGATCATGAATACACGACCAAGGAGACCTTCCAGAACAACTTCTTCAATGACTGGAGGAAGGTACCTTCCCTGTGAGGGCTTCCTTGCTATCTGTCCTCCTCATTAAACCTCTCATCCACAGGCAGACCCTAGGCCACACTGTGGGATGGAGGGGATGAAGGTTTTTTGTGGCTTAGTTGTAACTATGAGATTCTAAGTTATGTGATTTATTTCCTTCCTTCTTGTGGGTTTGGGCTGGGGCTTGCTCTCTGCAGCATCCCTGAGGTCTTCATGTTGGTGCTTGTGCTCCCTCTGAGTTTTAGCGATGCTACCTTAGAAAGCAGGTGCTGGGTCTTGCATGTAGCTTCACAAATGCTTTGGGGCATTTGTCCATCTGAAGGATTGACTTCATGGTCCCGCAGCACCACAGCTCAGTCACCAAATAAAAGCAAGACCCCTACTAGGGCAAGTTTACATGCCCCTAGATATCTTTGGTGCTGATTCTGCAGACTTCTTGTAGTGATGCTTCGGGAGTGCTGGTTTCTACAGTAGAGGTTAGAGGTTGCCACGCCACAGAGCTGTCTGCGTTTTGCTTCTCTGTGGGTGCAGGCTCAGTTGACCAGAGGCAGCCTGGCCTCCTGCTGTGGCAGCTCAGTGGATAGGGTAGCTGGGGTGGCTGCTTCCTTCTGAACTTTCTGAAGAACTGGCATGTGGGTATCCATTTCCCTTTCTGTGAAAGACAGGCATAGGTGTCGCCTCCTGGCTTTACCCAGCCCCTCTCATCCCTTGCTTAGGAGATGACCTCGAAGGAGCAGAACATAATCAAAGACCTGGACAAGTGTGACTTCAGGGAGATCCACAAGTACTTTGTGGACAAAAGTGAGGCACGAAAAGCACTCTCCAAAGAGGAGAAGCAGGTGAGGACTGTTTCCTATGATGTCTGGGGCTGGCTGATATGTTTTGGGACCAGCTTGGGATATTTCATTTCCTGCTTGTCTCCTTCCCTGGTGTTATGCCCTGACCTGGGACCTCTTTGGCATTTGGACCAGCTCCATTTCTCCGTGACCATCACATCCCTATTGGTTAAGTTTATCTGCAAAGACTGCAGGTTTCATGGCTTTGCAGGGGACCAGTCATCCTCAGACCATAATCCGGTGTTCTGTTTAGAGGATGGTGGACCCTGCTGAGGGGCTGGTGGCATACAGGCTTTGTTCTATCAGCATCTCATGCGGGGACAGCATCACCATGAGGATTTACAAAGTTGGTGGAGATAAGCTATTTATTGGGAGTGGGCTTGGACCCGTGCTCATGTCTTCCTCCAAGCCCTTGAGCTCTGCCTTTCCAGCCTTGCTTTCTCCATGGAAAGGAGGGTAGTGAGAGGCAGGCACAAGTAGTGGGGCTTGTTTTCATCCTGTGGGATGATGGTGACATGGTGTTCATTTCAGAAACTCAAAGAAGAGGCGGATAAGATCCAAGAGGAGTACGGGTACTGCATCCTAGATGGGCACCGGGAGAAGATAGGCAACTTCAAAACTGAGCCGCCTGGGCTTTTCCGTGGCCGTGGTGACCACCCCAAAATGGGCATGCTGAAGAGGAGGATCATGCCAGAAGATGTTACTATCAACTGCAGCAAGTGAGTTGCCACATGAGCTTGTGGGGTTGCTTTTGGAGCTGGGGTAAACAGCACACCTCCTCTGCCTGGAGCTGCTGTGGGGTTTTGCTATTTCCTGCAATCACTACTTTGCACACCCTGAGGCTTGAACTCACTGGAGCCCTTCTATCACCTCCTGGTCAACTCCAGATATCTACTTAGCAGTTAGGTCTGACTCTTAGTTTCTCTGTGGATGTACAATGGCCAGAAAGCTGGTCAGCAGCTCCCAGCTCTCACTGGTGCCCACACTGTCCACCCAACACCAACTGCAAACACTGCAGTGCTCCTATGACCTCTCTGAAGAAGGGATAACTCTGTGCTCCTCTTCCAAATAAACTATTCTTCCTTATTTTGTGGGTTCATTGTGTTGGCTGGAAGCATCAGGATACTCACTGGAGGGAGGAAAAGCAATGATTTCATTAGGAGTGTTTGCCCTCTAAATTCTGTGAGTTGGATTGGTCTTAAACCACCTATATGAAGACCTTGTGGCCTTGATTCAAAACACTCCCCACCAGGCCAGAAAGTTCTCCTGTTGTCCCCAGCATCCAAAGGATAAAGGTCTGATCATGTTGTGGAGCGGTTTTGGGTGGGTTGTACGTGTTCTGTAAGTAATGCTGCAATGTGTTAGCCGTCCTTGGCTCACTGAAGAACCAGTCGAGCTGACAACCTGTTTCTTCTCCTTCATCTGAGGGCTGTAACCCTACTCTGCCCACAGGGACTCCAAGATCCCAGAGCCACCAGAAGGGCACAAGTGGAAGGAGGTGCGTTTTGACAACACAGTTACCTGGCTGGCCTCGTGGACAGAAAACATCCAGAACACTTTGAAGTACATCATGCTGAACCCCAGCTCCAAGCTGAAGGTTGGAGTGCTGTTGCTGTTCGGGCAGAGCTGTTGCCTTTTGAGCTGCTGGCTTTTTGCCAGCTGGAAAGATCAGGGGAAAGCAGAGTTGTGGCATGTCAACAACAAATAATGTACATACCCTGCTTCTCCCTCCCACCCTCAAAAAAAAAAAAGGGGGAGAAAACTAAATTAATTTGTGTGCCATTGGGTAGTGAGGGGAAAAGGACAGAGATGAGCAATAAGTATCAAGCCTGTTCCAGGGGATGGATTGCTACTGGCAGAGCCATCCCTGTGCTGTGCAGCTCTTGTCCAGGGAAGGTTATCGAAAGCTAGGCAGGGGCTGAGAGGGTCCACAGGGGTTGTACTAATTTATGCCAGTAAATGGAGGGTAGGGGGAGGTGGGATCACCATCTGTAGTACCCTGGGAGGGTGGGAGTGAACACCATGGGGAGGGAAAAGTGATTTAAAGTTATTTCCAGTCCTCAAAGCAAATAAGGACACTGCATGCAAGTTGGGCAGAACTGAGCGAGTGCATTGTGTCAGTCTGTGTTGGTGGTGTCCAAGCAGCAGTAGCCACATCCATGCAGTGCTCAACCACTTGGCTCCTTCACTTGCTGTGTGCTGGCTGCCAGCTGGTGGAGCACACCTCCAGACTATGAGCAGCTTGCGCTCTTCCCAGGATCCCAGGTCCAGCACAGCGAGCAGAGGGCACAGAAAAACAAGATGATCTGGTTTTGCTCTGATTTTTCCACTTTGTGGATTTTTGTCAAGAAAACGATGGAGTTTGAGCAATATTTAGCTGCTGGAGGTGTTGCCAGAACAGGGTTTTACTGGTAGGGGTGGGAGGAAGATGAGGCACTGGGTGAAAATGTCTCAGCTTCTCTTTCCAGGGGGAGAAGGACTGGCAGAAATATGAGGTAGCCCGGCGCTTGAAGGATGTTGTCCACAAAATCCGTGCTCAATACCGAGCTGACTGGAAGTCCAAGGAGATGAAGAAGCGGCAAAGAGCAGTGGCCCTCTATTTCATTGATAAGGTATCTGTGGCCTCACCCTGACCCCCAGGTCCCCCATCCCTGTGGAGGCTGGGATTTAGCTTACCTCATCCACTCCACCCTGTAGTTTTTTTTTGGTGTCTGCTGGTTCTACTAGCCAGGGTTGGTTGCTCCTCATGAGGCATCTAGCAATGATCATGGAGAATGGTGACTCATACTATCTGCTGATGCTTGTGTGAAGACGTAGTTATGTGGCAGGGCAGGGGCTGTACTGTCCTTCCTGAACTCTGCCAGCATGTGTGTCTCTGCATGATGGCAAAGGCCCCACTGGAGAGCTGGATAACTTTATTCTGGGGGGATATTTTAGAATTTTAGAGCAACAAAATAATCTGCTGGGGGCAGTCATTGCTTGTTTTCCACCAGGGTCCCAGCAGCCATTCAGTGAGGTGTTTTCCTGAGAAAGCATCCTTTTTTCTCCCCCCTGGTGTCCACACCCACTTTAATATCCTTGGAAAGGGGAATTGAGATGGTCTGGGGTGGATGACTTGCTGTGTTCTTCCAGCTGGCCCTGCGAGCTGGCAATGAGAAGGAGGAAGGGGAGACTGCGGACACCGTTGGCTGCTGCTCCCTGCGTGTGGAGCACATCAAACTGCACCCCGAGCTGGATGGGCAGGAGCATGTGGTAGAGTTTGACTTCCTTGGGAAAGACTCAATCCGTTACTACAACAAAGTGTCAGTGGAGAAGCTGGTGAGTGCAGAAGAAATGGAGGCAGCAGCCAGCGTGGCAATTTTGGTGCAGGGTTAGCTGGGTGGCGCGATTCACTCAGTGCTGAGTGAACCATGGCCTATGGCCATACCACCCTGAGATGACCCAGTCTTGTCATCAGTCCCAAATCTGTATCTGAAACCTCTTGCAAAGATGCCTTATGTGCTTTCACACCATGGTGGCAGCATGCATGTGAGATGATAGATGATAAAATGGTTTGGGTGGGAAGAGACCTTAAAGATTATCCAGTCCATCCCCCCTGCCATGGGCTGGGACACCTTCCACTAGACCAGGTTGCTCACAGCCCCATCCAACCTGGCCTTGAACACTTCCATGGAGGTGTCATCCACAACTTCTCTGGGCAACCTCTTCCAGTGCTTCACCACGCTCACAGTAAAGAATTTCTCCCTGTGAAGACACAACAGTGCTGGGTGATGAGGATACACACATGCTGACCGTGTCCTGGAGAAGGGGGAGAAACTGGGGTAGGGCTTTAAAGGTTTTTCTAGCCCATGAACCATGAGAGAGAAGTCCTACCTCCTACTGGAGCATCCTCACTTGACTGGTGGGCATTAGGACTTGAACTCCCCTTACTGATATTTTATTTTTTGCTGTGCCCATGGGATAGATGATTTTAATGGTGTTTGTGGGGAAACTGGAGTGCCAGGGATAGCAGAGATGGGGGAAAACAGCTTGTGGCACCAGTGGCTTTGAGGTCTCAGCAGAAACCCTTGAAGTTGAGGAGGCTTGCTGTGTGGGTAGGATCACAGAATGTTTGGGGTTGGAAGGGACCTCTGTGGGTCATCTAATCCAACCCCCATGCCGAAGCAGGATCACCTACAGCAGGCTGCACAGGACCTTGTCCAGGAGGGTCTTGAATATCTCCAGAGAAGGAGACTCCACAACCTCCCTGGGAAGCCTGTTCCAGTGCTCCGTCACCCTCAGAGTGAAGAAGTTCTTCCTCATGTTCAGCTGGAACTTCCTATGCTTCAGTTTGTGCCCCAATGTGTACTCCATGAGTCTGAATCTGAGTCTATTGGGATAAGGAGGCAGGTGGAGATGAGGGAGATGTCTGGGAGCAGTTTGCTCCTTGTCCCTGAACTGGGGCCATCCTTTCCTTCTCTCTAGGTGTTCAAGAACCTGCAGCTGTTCATGAAGAACAAGGACCCAGGAGATGACCTCTTTGACAGGCTCAACGTGAGTTGTCACTCTTAAGCTTTTGATACACCACTGATGGCCCAGAGGGAATAGACGCAAACCCATGACACCCCGGTCCAGCCTGCAGGCTCCTAGGCTGTAGTGATGCATCAGCGTCACCCCTTACCCTGGTTTTAACTATCTCCCCTCCACAGACACCACTGTGACTCTTTGAATACCCTGTTGGGATGCTGTGATTTTTATTTATATTTTTATTTTTTTTCCATCCTCTTTCTGCACCAGTAGCATCTTTGCTTCTCTGAATGCAGGCTGCCTGCCTGCACCCACGAGTAACCTATGTCCCTGCTAAGGAGGCGGCTTTCTGCTCCTTCCCTCCTCTAACTCATCTGCTTAGGCTTTTTTTAGCCTAGGAAGACCTGCCCACGCACAAGTTGCTCGGGGCATCGCTGGAGGTGTCAAACCTCAGCCGGCTGACGCTTTTGCACGTCGCTGGGGCTCAGCAGAAGGGTGAGAAGCTGCTGGAGCTCAGGGATGCTGGAGAGATGTGCTGCAGCCTGCCTTCCTGAGCCACACCCTTGCAAAGAAACCCACTCTTTC